TTTAAGAACCCTAAAGCCCTAAAAATGAAAGTAAATCCTTAGGTGTCTTGGAATGGTAAAGGACTTCTTACATATATGAGCAATGAAAATGTTAGTAAAAAAAATAGTAAATTTGACTACATAGAAATTTTAAAATTTGCTATTAAAATTTGGGCAAATATCAGAAGAGTATTTTCTACAACTGTACTATTCTATAGAAATAACTCATATAAACCGAGATCCATTAATATTCTTCTAAAATATAACATATAAGGAAGTATTCAGCTTTTTTAATAATTGGAACCACAGTTGAATCAACATACAGGTGCCATTTTCTCACCTATCAGGATATTTTTAATGCAATATTCTATGACTGCATTAAACAATAGGGGCATAACCAGCCACTTGAAATATATCTAATTCAAACTAAGATGTGTCGCAAAGAAAAAACTACACACTGGAATTTAAAGACTCAGTACAGAAAAGTAAAATATCTCATTGATAAGTTTACATTGATCACATGTTGAAATGATAATATTTTATGCCCATTGGGTTAAGTAAAAGGTACTATAGAAAGCTAATTCTCCTGTATCCTTTCACTTTTTAAGACACTTTAAATTTTAAACTATAGATGTGCCTTATGTAATATTTCAACTAGACAGTGCTACTGTAAGATACAAAGAAATATTCACCATCATGTATTGCAGATGGGAGTACAAATCACCACAGCAGGATTTCGGTGATACATATCTAGAATACCCTTCAGGAAATAAAACTACACTTCAAGTGCACTGTAACTTTTTAGCAAATTATCTCACCCTAAGGCCTTATTTTAAGGAATAAATGAGAGACCAAACAATAATTAGAGAGATACAGATGGTTAGAATAAAGCATATATTAACAGTGAAAGATTCAAAAACCACATAAATGTTCAGCAACTGGGAACTCATAACAGTGTGTTCTTTTAGTGACATGATGAAATATGTATGACACAAAGTTAACACACACATTATTATCCCAAGCACATGCAAAGCATGCAGACCCACACACACGAAGGACTGAGTGGAAATGTGCCAGCATATTAACAGTTTGTCTGGCTTATAAAATTACCAATTATTTGTGTCACTTTTATGTTTATTTGTATTCACTTCAATCAAAAATTAAATTTTGTTTCTAAAAAAATCTTCTTTTCTAATCCTTTTAAACTGAAACAACTCTTAGCTAGTAAGGCTAGATTAATGAGCAATAAAACCTTGTGTAGGGGTACATGCTCTCCTGGAGATCTTAGATATATTTACATCATAGATCAAAAATAGTTTAGAGGAAGCTATTAAATAGGATCAGATTTCAAAATCAAGCTAGCTTAACTAACCTTATGTTCCAAAATAGGCTTTTTATGTGCTACTTGTTGTACCAGGAACTTAGAGGAAAGAAGACTTGTCCTGGACCAGATGATCGAGTGTGTAATAGGCACAAACTGTAGTGCTTCCTCTCCTCATTATTCAAGGTACAAATTTACATACACATTATTTAGTTGAATATATTACCGGCCTCATTTTGTACTTATCTATAAGCCGTTAGCTGGTATCTCATGCTTTCTGCTGCTAAATAACTCGGAGCCATCTCTTGGTGTGTGTTTTGATTGGAAAAGTGTGATTTACTGTAAGTGAAAACATATGTCTAGCTTTGCCCCAAACCACCCAGGTGTGTTCAATCTCATCCAATAGTCTCCTATCAAAGAGAAGTGTGTTAATCTCATGTAAATGGGCATCAGAGAGAGATTAAGCATCCCAAGCATTGAGTCAATGCCAAAATGAAGATGCATTCAAGAAGCCAAAAAGATGCAACAGAGCTACTTAACTGGAGCTATGCATAGCAGCAGAAGAGACAAATTGCTTGGTTTGCCATATAACGCTTGTAGCTTTTGAATAAGATATTTTTAAATTGTGCTAATTCATAATCTGTAAAGCTCTCCATTGTAAATCTCGTTAGCTTCTACTGAAAGAATGGCCATGGCTATGGTTTGGAGCCAAAAGCATTTCATTTTTAACGTTCAAAATTGAGCATCATGCAGTAGTGATCTTTCTCTTGTGTATGGAGAAAGGCCACCCTGCAAACGCCGTATGGACTTACTCATTAGCGCTAAAAATCTGGAGGAGTCCTCACCTCCTGAAACTTCTGTCCTGATACCTACAAGATGATTGTTAAAGTAAGTCCAAGAAACACTTGATTTCCCATCCTCATCTCACATAGGAAAAGAGAGCTGGAAAGAGGAGCACTCCTTAAGCCTCCGTTTCCTCAACTCATCAACTCTGAAATTCTTGATTTTTGCCTCCATTAGAAGACAACCATGGAAAATTAGCTTTATATTATTCCTGAATTCTGTCTGTGTCCAAAAATCATATAAGCGATAAATTCTACATAGATACATTCATAAATGCAGTCCATCAAAAAAGTGTATACACACGTCAAAAAAGAAAAAATGTGATATTTTTTCAACAGATGGTGTTATCTGCATACAGGAGAACCTGGATAATGTTGTATATCACAGAAAACCTGCTACATTGCTGGTCCTTAGAGATAGCATGTGCAGCCATCCAGTGACTGAGGTTACCCAAGCAGCAGTTCGCCACACTAATAAATATCTGGAAGCAAATGGTCACCACTTTGAGCACCTCTTGTAACTGAGGAGGCCAAAGGTAACTTATACTAATCTCATGATGTCTCAGTAAAATTAGTATTAAAATATTTACACAAGTGTTTCTTTTCCTGAAGTATATCTACATTTTTTGGTGGACTCTGTATGTTAACATGGCTATTAATGAAAAAATACTTGTCTTTATTTATAACTGCTTTTGTTAACACATTAGCCTTTTAAAAACATGGGTAAGCAATTACATCTTAGATATCTTATTCCATGTATTCAGATTTACTTATCACTCAAATCATTTTCAATAACCAGTTTACTAAAAAATACTTCAGCTGGCTATACAACAATACCAGGCAGTCAAAGCACCCAGCACATTTCAGATCAGATGAACTCAACACAGGCTTGACTGATTCCCTCTATAGAAAATCTAGGGCTCACCATCTACTGACAGTTAAACTATTATAAGGAAATCATCGGGCCCTCAATTATTGTAGAGATGTTTCATCGAGGTAAAAATTTCATATACAAATCTCAAAGTCTTATTACCATTAAAGCATGTATTTTCACTGTTTAACAAAGATGACTCAAATCAGGAATTGGTTCTTCAATTTAAGAACCAACAAGATGATCAAATATAAACTGGTTATGTGAGCAAATTGTCTTGTTTTGCACAAATCACTTAATTATCCAGGTTATGCCTATAAATGAATTTGACAAGTAACATGGAAACCTTCCAGGCCAATAATAATGAAGATACTCTTGAAGAAGAAAAAGGTGAAAGGACTTACACTGCTAAATGTAAATATTTATTAAAAGTATTGGTAATTAAAATATTATGATACCAGTGTTGGTATAGTTAAATAAATTAATAGGGACAAAAATAGAGTTCACAAATAGTGATTCTACTGAAGTTCAATTTATAATTATTCATAATTCTGTATATTTGTTGATGCATACTTTATACTTCATATAAAAAGATAAAACTGAACAAAATGTATGTGTAGCCAATTATTGCTGTAGTATTTTCTAACAAAAGTAAATGAGATAGAAAATTGTCTTTAGCTTTATTTATAACAGAAATTGACTTAAGGTAGTGGGGAAATTTACACTGCCCTAAGCAAAATCACTAATGTAATAGAGAACTAGTTTTAATATTATTAAGCTAATTTTCTTTTTTTTGAAGTTCAAAGCATCTGTTTTCTCACCCACACTAATTTTGGCGGGGTAAGAATCTATAAGCTTGAAAACAAGCTCTACTACTTCCTAGCTGTGTGATTCTGGCTGGACAAGTTACATATCCTGCCCCGTTAAACCTCTACTTTTGTTTCCGTAAAGGGATAATGTTAATATCTATGCCCCCTGCTTCTGAAGAGCATTAAATGGGACATCTAATGCAAAGTGCTTAATATAATGCCTAGCATGCTTGGTAATTATAATACTTAGCATTGTACAATTATACTTTTATTCACCAACCAATTTAGGTAAGAACAACTGGCTAGTCTGGCAACTCTAACCTCTCAGATCCTAATTTCATCACATGTAAAAGTGAGTATATCTCCTTAGTAATAGGACTCAAAAGATAAAATGTATGTAAAACCTTCATGATTAAATGGAACAGAAGCCCCTAGAGACAGGTCTGCATCACTGCAAGGGAGCCCATTATGGGTCGACAGTATATCAGAAGCCCAGAGAACAAGACATCAACTTAGACTGCCTAAAAGGTTTTCCACCTAGCTTCTGCTCCTTGAGTGTTCCCAAGCTGTTCCGGTGACAGGTGTTCCTGTGGTTCTCATCAAGCCTCCTTGCACCTATTCCTCAGCGCTGAGCTCTCATTTTATTGATGGGTGTTGAGCTGTTAGCAGAAATTTCAGAAAACTGTATACATCCTGAAATTGACCCAATTACAATCTGTGTAAATCATCTTTTACTTGGCTCAGACCTTGAAATAAATTCTACAGCTCTGGTAAGCCACAAACTTTGCAGCATTCAGGCAAATTACTCCTCTGTGCCTGTTTACACATCTGCAAATAAAAGGGGCAAGATGAAACCTTAATGTAGCCTGTCAATGTCAGGTATTGAAGAAGGTGTTCAACACATCTCAGCACTTTTAATACACAGAAGCACTGTGAGATAAATATGACTGTTGTTATTTCTGGTTTACAAATGTGAAAAGTGAAACTCGGTGAGATTAAGTAAATTGTCTAGAGTTACTTGACAGAGAAGGTAAGACACAAATCCAAGTTTCTCTATTGTCAGAAGCCAGAATTCAAACTGTATTGCACTTCATTCCTTAATGCAATACCAACTATGTGACAATCTTCAGTCATCATCCTTATAAACTTGAAAGACTAAAGAAGTTATTACTTACAAAATACCTGGTGAAGCCTGGCGTGAATCTGACACACACGTAACTGTAGTGCAGGTGGCCCTTCATCTCTCTTCTAGTGTTATTTTTCTAAAATTGAAACAAAGAAAACCAACAAGCAAATCACTCTTCTTGTTTAGAAATAACAGAATCTACTAGGATAAGGTTTTTCACTCATATCTGAGGTTGAGTACATCTGTACGGTCATACATGTATATAATTATATTGCTGTCAAAAATGTGCTGTAAATAACTGGAAGCATGTGTTACATGGTAAGGGAATCAAAAGGCTCACTTCTATAATTGGAGAAATGATACTCATGTTTTTATGTTGTAGTAAAAATTCACAAACTCATGAAGAAAATCTGTTTAGGTGGTTAAGAAGATCCACTGAATCCTCTAAAATCACAAGCAAATAATGTGAATGTTGTAGTACCTGTGGATTAATAGTAGCCATAGGTTTGGAGTCCTTGTCCACGTGGGAGAATGAGATGGATCTATCCAGATAATTGTGTGGACTGCCTGGGAACGACAACCCATTTCTCAGGAATAAGCAGGCCATATATGGTCTTGGTGATAAGGTGGGTTATTTGGCTGGAGAACCTTGTCTGCAGGAACACAGTAGGGAAGAAAAAAAGTGGTTAGGTCACTTGAAGCCCTCCTGAGTATACCAGTTGTCAAAGCAAACTATGGTATTGATTTCTAATGCTAGATTTTCTATTGTGATAGGTTGAAAAAATGTACTAGATGTGATTCCAACACATGGTGAGTATTTAAATCCAAACATATTTATGAAAAACTTGTGACCATCTATCCACCTCCATATATTGTCCCCTTACTTCAAACATATTTATCAATTTATTCTTACCACTTTCTGAAGCAGTTCTGGAAGTTCTCCTCCCTTAATGTCTTTGTGATCTGTGGTCAAAAATATGGTGAACGGTGCTGCCAAGGGCTAACCAAGGAAAATACCAGGCTCAAAAAATATCACACTGTGTTCTTCACTTGTTTATGAGATCTGGAACTGTGTGACTTCTGGCTCTCAGCCAAAGTAAAATGACCACAAAAGGTAAACATTTTGTATCAACTCAGGACATTGAAGTACCTATTAGACCACAACCAAAGATGCTTCCAAAAAAGGTATTCTAGAACTGTTCTAGAAAAAGGCAAGAATGACAGGATAAGAGTGTTCAGATACAGTATTTTAGGAGAAGTCAACAGTAATGTGCCATTGCTGTAATATTTTGTGTTGAAATTTTAATATTTACATATTTTTATCATATCCTCCTTAGATTATGTATAAGCTTTAACCTGGAATTCTTAGGATTTTATTGTCATAAAGCTAATAAGATATTGGCATAACATGGGTTGTGTTTAATGGAGAAAAATTCAAAATTTATAAATGTTCATTATTAGAGAAACATTTAAATTTCGGTTTTGCTTAAAAAACAAAAAACACTTTCCACCCCATAACATTTAATGCAGAGGAAAATGTAGGACATGTCATAGCTACTGTCAGTGGCTGACACAAAGTACCCAACACCCACACCTTAAAGGAGTAGAGATTTCAGTGCATTGTTGGCTACCTCTAAAGAAGAAACAGTGACAGAGGGCATGGCAGATAAAACGTCCCTCACTTCATGGCAGCTAAGAAGCAGAGAGAGGGAGGAACCAGGAATGAAGACAAACTTCCACATCACCTCTGCAGTGATCTGTCCCTCTGAGCAGACTCTGGCTCCCAACAGTAAACCAGTTCTACCACCCTATGACCAATCACCTTCCAAACACGTGAGGCTTTGGGTGCAATTTTAGATCTCACTCATAACATGTTCCTCTTACACCCAAAAACACACTTGCATGTTCGTTATCAAGGTACATTTAGTCTTTCCCCAAGAATCACCAAAGTTTATACAGTTCTAGATTTGTTGAAAAGTCCATGACCAAAGACTCTTCTAAACTTAAAGCAAACTATTGCTGTGAGTCCCTACAAAAACAAAAAAAAGAGGGGATGTTTTAAAAAATGTAAGGGTTAACAGCAGCAGCAGTTCAGCCTCTCTAAGATTCAGAATTCAGACATAGGCAGATAACAACTTGGGGAAGAAAAAGGCGAGAAATAGATTTCTAGGAAAAAGTAAATAAGTGACATGAAAATTAAGCATTATAGGAAAATTGAAGAGGCAGAGCACAATGTGGAGATGAGAATGAAAAGCTGATTTTCTCTCTGGCTCTTGGTTCATGGCTCTTTGAAAAGAGATCAAATCAGTAGGAAAAAAGTGAAAGCCTGACATTCCAGGAGGCTCCAGGGAGACATGGTGGCAGTTTAATGGACTGCCAGTTGCTGTGATCTGCAAGGACAGCATGGAGTTCTGCTTTCATGGAGTCCTTACAATGGAAACCGTGAGTGAATGATCCTAGAGCAGGCTCCCTCCATATCCCTGGAGAAAGGGCAGACCTGAGTGCTGTCTTGGTTACTTTTCTCATTACTGAGACAAAATACACAACACCCAAAGTTAAGAAGAAAAATTCTATTTGGCTCACAGTTTACAGATGTTTCAGTTCATAATTGGCTGGCTCCAAGGCAGAGTGGCACAGAGGTATTGCAGAAGCGAACAATTCATGGTACCCACAAAGTCACAAAATCATCAAAAGACAACCACACTACTTTCTACCCTTTATATTTTATCCAGGGTACTTAGGGAAGGTAGCAGTCACACCCTTAATTCTAGTACCTTTGATCTTAGTTTTAATTAATCATAGCATCACACACTCTAGATCCAGCCACCTCTGTATTTCCCTCCCCATGACTGCATGAGGCTTTGAGGGAACTTCTAGACACAAACCATAACAAGTGCCATTCTGGGAAAAGGCTATGTGTTTGAACCTAGGATTCAGAACAACCATAGTATACCTCCATTTCTTGGTTCCAAGTGTTACTATCCCCTGGTGACTGGGTGACTGACAGACAGGTAAAATAGCCACACACAGGGATTGGGATGCAAATAGACTCAGTGAGGAACTTGAATCTGGTTCAGAAGGGCATGGCTCCCTCCTCTATGGCCAGAGTCCATGCTCAGCCTGAGTTGCTCTGAATGTGAAAGTCTCAGCATTGGGTGTTTGAGTCTTTGCCCTCTGCTTGCACAGAGCACAGATATGGGGTCTGGCTGCCTCCCTTAATCTACTGGCATGAGCAAGGAATAATCTTGGCCTAGACATTACCACAGCCTAAAGAAAGCAGAGGGCCTCTGAGAAAATTCAAAATTATGACTCTCTAAATCTGAAGATCCCAGAGGGAAACTATTCATTTAACATTACAGAGAATCAGAAATCCAAGAGAATAAAGTTATATTGAAAATATGGGCAGCAAATCTGACCAATGGGATATGAGTATATTATAATTAGAAGGTAGGGATGTGTTTTAGTGCCAACTATTCAAGGCTACTTCAAAACAAGAGAATGGAAAAAAATGGATCAAATAGTTGCTAGACAATGCAAAGGTTAATCTAAAACTAACTGGAATAAGTGAAAAAAAACAGAGGTCTGCACATATGACATTTCTGTTTACAGAAATAATAGCAAAAATTTCCCAAATATTAGAGAAAAAAGAAACATACAGATAAGAAAGTCATATAGAAACCCAAATAAACATAACTAAAAAAGAATCTCTCCAGGTCACAAGGTTGTCAAAATACCAAAAGTCCAAATCAGGGCCTAAACCTTTAAAGCTGTTAGAAAAAAGCAGTGAATCCCTCACAAAGGTAAACTAGTTAGAAAAACTGCAGATTTTTCAATTCAAACCTTAAAAGCCTGGAGGGCTTGGAATGAAATGTTTCTAGCCCTAAAAGATAACAACCTCCAATCTCAAGTTACATATCTTGCAAAACTTTCCCTTAAAAAAGTTTCTTGAGAAGCACCTCAAGAAATCTTAGTTACTTTTCTTATCACTGAGACAAAAATACGCAATAACCAAAGGTAAAGTAGAAAAGGTTTATTGCAGCTCGAAATTTGTAGAGGTTTCAGTCCATATTCACTTGGCTCCAAGGCAGGATGGCATGGGAGAGGGACATCACAGAGAAGTAATCCACAGCAAGCAGCCAAGGAGACAGCAAAGCAGCAAGAACCAGGAGCAAAATGGTGAAGCAGGAGGCTTTTGCCATTTCTTTACATTTCCTCCAAGCTACATGTTCTTTGATGAGTGCCACCCACATCAATAATGAGGCACCCCTACTCCCAGCTTTGCACACTTAATTCCAGCATTGTTTCCTTAATCTCAGCATCACATACCCTAATCTATCTACCTCTTGAACTCCCCACCTATGACTGAGTGAGGCTTTGGGGGGCAATTTGATATAATAAAAATTCCTAATAAAATTCATGGCCACCAAACCAGCCTTATGAAAAGTTCTCAAGGACATTGTAGAAAGAGACAATGGAGCCAACAATGTCAATAAAACAAATAGACTGAATACACCTGGCAATATGAGAATCTAATCAAAAAGAAAAAAGTAAGCAAATTAACATGAGAAAAATAATGTAATGACAAAAATAAGACAATATCAGTAACAACTCTCAATGTGACTGGTCTCAATACACAATATACAATCAAAAGAACATGAAACAATTTTAATTCAAAAGACATTCATAGATCTAAAAAAAAAGGTGAAAAACAACATTCCATGCAACAGGCACACAGAAAACAGTCGGAGTAGATTCCTATTTTTGGACAAAGTGAATTTTGAGCCAAACTGATCAGAAGTCAAAAAAGGTCACAATATATAAGTGAAAGCAATAATTCAACAGGATGAGTTAACAATTATAAACATTACATAAAACAAATAATAATAACCTAAAAAGTCTGATAAATTCCAACACAGTTATAATGGAGAAACGGATAATCTCACTTTCACAAATCGGAGAACTACTAGACAAAAAATTAACAAGACATATCAGACTTGAATCAGACCTCTAAGTGAATAGACTTCATGGATATATACAGAATGTTCCACACAACAAATACAGAATGCACATTCTTATCAGCAGCACATAAAACCCTCTCCAAATAGATCACATACCAGTCCACAAAGCACGCTTAGGTAAATCCAAAAGAATTCAAAACATCATCCAATCATGGAACAATGAAATGAGAAATCAATGGCAAAAAAGGTACAGAAACTATGCAAACATAAAGTAACGAGTGGGTCACAGAAGAAATCAAGAAAAAATAAATAGCTCCTAGAATTCAGCAATAATGCTAGTACAATATACCAAAACCTATGACATACCATGAAAGCTGTCCTCAGAGGGAAGTTTATAGTGGTGAATGCCCATATCAGAAAAATATATTTTGGCTCTAACATTTACTTCTCATTTTTACCATAGATCTGGTCAAAGGTAGAAAGCAGTAGCCATGAAACACCCTCAATGTTGGGCAACCTTGAAATTTCCTCTACCAGACTGTTCAACTACCCTTCATCTCAGTGTCCTGAAAAGTCTCAGGACATAGAAAAAGTAAAGACAAGATTTCTGCCAGTATGTAATACACACAGCCTCTAACTCAAATGCAAATGGAGTCCTTTTCCCAACTGATACCTAACCAAGGTGGTGGACGATC